GAAAGAAATTTGTGTGGAAATGGGATCTTCTGGACCCGTTTGCTTCTGCTCTCAGCCCATCTCTTCCCTTTCCTGCCTTCAAAAACACATGCAGTGCTGTGATATCCTGCTGTTGATTTTGGGTTGTGGAGAAGATGAAGATGCCACAAACCATAGCTAGAGCTCCATCTAGCACATTCCCATGAGACTTCCAGTGACATCAAGTCTCATTGACTAAAGTGGGAGACTCTTATGCCTGAGGTTAAACCATGGAAAATGAATGAAGATACAAGGTGAGCTGCTGTGGAGGGGAATAAGGACCCTGTTTCCATGAAAATGAACAATCATAAGCATTTTTGTAGCTCTCAGAGGCTTTCTGTGAATCTTAAAAGAGCTGTTATCTACTTGAAGATCTGCTTGAGGTCTGTACATCATTGTGAAATTCATCTGCGTGCTGAATTTTCTTGTGGTTCTCCATTGTGGTCAACAGAGTTGAGCTGGTGTAAGAGAAGGTCTAGTCTCTTTCACTTTACCTTGGATGGTAGAGGAGATGATGTGCTTATATGCAGCTGAGAGCATCAGGGAGAACCTCATAGTGTGTTTTTGCCGAGCTTCTATGACCTACTTTGTTGTGAAAAGTGAGGGCTCAGGCTGGGTTGCATCTCACTCTCCTGTATGTTGGGGGAGGGAGAAAAAAAGAGAGTTTTGTTTCATAGCCCTGCAGATGAACCCATCCATGACAGGAAACCTGGATTGCTGTGTTGCTTCCCCCTCAGATATAGACGTATCAGTCTTGGTTTGACTAGATGGATGGTTGTTTCTTTTGCTCTGGATGTCGGCCAGGCTTGATGGTTTTCATGCCGCCTTTGATGCTATTCATACTTCATATCTGTGCATAGAGAAAGATAAAATGTGCTGTGTTGTTGGAATCTCCTATTGCTTTTCCTTTATATCATAAATTCTGCTGTAGCACAGAAGAGAGATCAAAGCTCCGTTGCTTAATGTGGGCTGTGTGGATAGCAGTGTTATGTTTGGCCAGTTTGTTGCCCCTAATTTGCTATTTTTGTTTAACCCATTTTTGCCAGGCGTTACGTGGCAACCCATTGCTTTTCTCATCTGCTCCCACAGCAACTTATGCTGCTGTTTTAGAAGCAGTTTCCATCTCTGGGTTTCAAAACTGGGCTGCACCAGTCCTGCTGTGGCAGGTGGGGCTGCTATGAGTTGTGCATTGTTTTCCATGTTGCTCCTTTGCCTCCATGTGTCATGTTCCCTGCTGCTCTTCTCAGGTCACCTGGAGCAGCTTCATAGCACAAAAGCCCTAGAAGCATGGTATATTTGAGTGGTTGCAATTTTGCCAGAAGACAAACAGTGAAGGTGAGGTGTAATTAACTGGTTTGTCTCCTTAGTCTTGCTCTCAGTCAGTGGAGGAAGGGTGTTCCTTGCAGGGCACTGTCTGTAGACTGGATTGGGTGTGTGCATGGGGCAGAGTGGCTGAGGCCCACTAGCCAGGGTGTTGGGAAATGCAAGAGAGCTCTGGAGGACTAAGTGGATGGCCAAGGTTGAAGACAAAACCTGATTGCATGGTTCGGTTGCCTTCAATTTTCTTGTCCTTTCATTGCCACATCCTTCCAGCCTGCTTAGAGAAATACCTCATTTGCCCCCTCCATCTCAAGCTGTTAGAGCTGCACAGCAAATCTGAGCTCATTCCTCCTTCCCTATTCTCCAACACTTTCCATACATTTATTCCACTACCATACCATGGCTATTAGTAGAGACAGTATCATGTTTTATTTGAAAAAGTGCCTCAAAAGAAGCACAAAGTTTAATGTCAGAACCTTCCCAATTTTGTAGGTCTTTGTAGATGCTTTTGCTTTGAATCTACAGGGTGGTTGGTTTTGGTTTGTTTTTTGTTTTGTTTGGTTTGGTTTTTTTTTTATCTCCTTACTATTTTCAGCATTGTATGTTGGAGTGTCCCTCCAAATCTACAGCCGATATCAAAGATAGTATTTTTCCTCCCATTTTCCAGCTAGCACTGACAAATGTGAACACAAACAATCCCTCACAAAGGGATTGTTTGTAAGATTTCTCCAACTCCTTCTAAGAAGGTGAACACTTTTCTTTAAGACATGGTGAAGCTGTTTTCTCAGGTGCTAATAGCTTTGATTGTAGAAAGATGACATTTGTCATAACAGCATCCAAACTCTGAACCTGTTGAGATTCACCCATTTTAACCCTGGACATCTCAGTGAACATCATCCATCTCACATCTGACAGAGAAGACATAAACCTAGCAAAAGCCTTGTTGGTTTCTGCTCCATACAAGAGAATGGGGTTGAAGGTAGCAGTACAATATGGGACACAGTACTGAGGAAAGAGAGAAAAACAGCTAGGAGAGAAGCATGGGGTTTTTTCAGATTCTTTGGGGACTTTAATAAATCAGAAGGAGAGGATGCCGAAATGACCAATGCTGCATTGCTTTCCCAAGTCAGCAGTATGTTCAGCCCCTAAGCTTCAGAAATGTAGGCTGTCCTCCTGCCACGTTCCTCATCATCCCTCACTAGTGACTGCAGGTCAGTTATGGGGTAACCCCTTCTGCAGTCCCATTCTGCAAAGACCCTGGAGATCCCTGCAGCTCAGATTCACAGCGTAGTGCTGATGACAAAGAGCAAAGCCCCTGATGTCCTCAGCCTTAAGTCTTGCTGATCTTTCACATGTCCCTTTGCTGAGGCTGTGTGTCCCCAGTGGGTGTTTAGGCCTGTTGGATGTGGTCTGGCAGAAATGGAATTGCCTTTATTTAGCAGAGCTAAGAAATGCAAAGAAAATAAAGCAGACAGGAGTGGTCCTTGGAGATACTTAGTATTGTTGAGTATAGACTTTCCCAGCTATCCTTTGGTGGCCATAAAATATATTTATATTACGAAGAACCAAACACGATAAATAGTGACATTCAGGGATGCCATGTTTATTTGTCTCCCAGTGGCTCTGATAAGAAATGGACTTAGTTTACTTACCCATTTCTGAGCATCAGCACTTTAAACTCTGCTTTGGCTCTGAGAGTTGATCCAGGCTCTTTCTCACTACTAATGGTATTTCAACACTTGGAATTTGCCTATGAATTTTGTTTATGACACATGAACTGAAGCTGAGCCTGGATTACTCTCCCATGTGGATCAGTCCTTCAGGGCCACTGAGAATAACAGATAGTTTCCCCCAAACAAGTTTAAACAGTTCCAAACCAAACAAACAGCTTTTGTCTGCATCGTCAGGTTCATCAGAAGAGGCATGCATTTGATAAGCAGATGAAATAAGATAGTGTAGGGAAGAAATATAAATAGATATAAAAGAAAAAAAATAGAAGAAATAGGGAAAAAAAAATCTTCTGGCAAGTGTAGATTCGGTGTGAGAAACTTTCTGTTCCTAGTCTAATGGAAAGCATGTTTCCTATCGAGATCAATTCTCGAGGGCATCCAAGCTGCTCCATGCTGCTCTAGTGATGCCAAACTTGGGATAACTTACCTGATTTGCTGAGGATCCTGTGACTGTATGAGGAGCAGGAGTATTTTCCAGACCTTAGAGCAATTGTGTAGCCAAGACATCCCAGTAATTTTCTTGGAAAAACCCTTTGGGCCCATGAGAAGATGGGACAGATTAGAGCAATCCCCAGGATTCTGCCATGCACATCTTGGACTTGGCAACTCACTGGATCTGATTTGGGGATTTTGGTAAGCTGCTGCAGATGCCTCTTATATCTACATACTTGATCTGAGCTGAGAGCAACTTCACTGCAGTCCTAACAACTACATTCAGTGACCTATGCCTGTTCCTACCTTGTCTCTTCCCAGCCCATTGGGATGGCCTCAGCTGTAAAAATACTGTTACAAATGGATGTCTGAGAAAATAATGTAAAACATTATGTGAGGACTCCTGAAGACAAATGCATGGATCTTTTCTGCAACAACTTTCAGGACTTAGCACAAAAGATGATAGAAAACAGAATACAAGTCAGGAAGAAGGGAAATGTAGGCTGAACATCAGGATGTGTCCTAGCAGTGAAACAGAATGTGACCCTCCTTTGGTCAGACCTTGAGGAGAGGGCTGTGGGACTGGATGTCTCAACAGCAGGTTTGTTTCTTCCATTCCAGAGAACTGTTCTCTGACAAGTCCTGAAAATTTGCATTTAAATAAATGCTTCAGAGAATAACGTTAATCTTTAATAGTAATTAACATCTAATCATTTCTATATTAGAAACACGCTAGTAGTGGGTTTCTGTGGCTGGAGCATTACGGAGAGATGGTTAATACAGCCCTTGAAAATGTTATGTTTGCCCAGTAAGTTCATTGGAACTGAAGGAAGGAACATGTTTATGCTCTCTGCTCCACATATTTTTGTTTTTCATCTGACCGGTATTTCTGGCAAAGCCAAAATTTTAAAATTACTTTTAAAGAGGTTGGGTTATGTAAGGAGAAAGATGCATCCAGTGTGCAGTTCTCAGTGTAGATGGGACAGCTGGGGCTAAAGAAGTCTATGGGTTTATGAGAGTCAGGCCTCCCCAGCCTTGCAATGGTACTCGTTGGCTTCAGCAATGTTAAGCCAGACTAAATAAATCATGAGAGAAAACTAGACAGAAGGAAGGATTTTCTATTTTCCTCACTCCCTCCCTAGGGGAAAGATGGACTAGGTAGGGCTTAGGGCTTTCAGTGGGAACCTCTAGAAAAGAGTTGTTCCCAGTTTTCTGTCCAGACTGCTTGCATGCCCCTTGCCCTCAGAGCACTTGTGCCTGCACACACCACGTTAAATAATTGCCTGTACTTTATGGAAAGACAGAGTGAGGTAGCCCTGCCTGAAGAGGGCATTTTGGCTTTAATTTAATGGCAGCCGTTTGCTGGTTATTCATTTGGTTCTTTTTTAATAATTACATGTGTGTCAATATCTCTCTCTTTTTTTCTAGTTTTGCTCTTTTTTGTTTTTTCGTTTACTTTATTTTGCTTTTTTCTTTTTTCTGTTTTTTTTTCCCCTTTAGGTTTCAGAGAAATTATGTTGAATCCAATAAGCCTCCCTGGACATTCCAAACCTCTTAACCAAGGCATTTATGTTGAGGATGTCAGTGTTTATTTCAGCAAAGGACGTCATGGCTTTTAAAAACTCCTTAAAAGTCCCTGTTCTGATGTCAAGTTTATAGGCTGTGCCCTCAAAATGGTGGGAAGCAGTAAGCGTGGTCTGTATGGATTGAGGTCTCCTCCTAATAGGACTCTACAGCCCTGCCTGTACACACGTTAAAGCCAACTGAAACTGTGGTTTTCTGTCACCAGATAACAGGGTTGTTCTTTTCCTCCAATGGTCGCTGTGTTCGTTAAATATTCCTGCAAGGCACAACAGCAGCAATGAGAGCAAATAAAGAGAAATAAAACCCAATTGAAAGGAGTCATCCTAATAACAGAGTAAATAATTGTACTTTTGCTTTAAAATAAAACACAAAACAAAACCAACCAAGCCAACCAAACTGACATCTTTAGTCATGTCCTCCCTGCTTGGAGTTTTCCTTGTAAGCTTGTGTCTTCGCAACACCCAGTGAATGCCACCATCACCTCTTACGTGGCGCCGCCATGGGAGGTCTCCCAGAGCGAGCCGAGGCGGGGAGCCTGGAAGAAACTAAAGCAGAACGAAGACTTTTGGTAAGAACAAAGGCAGCCCCGCTCCCAGTTCTTGCACAGAAAATAATGTTGGAAGGAATAATAATGGAAAGAAAAAAATATCTTACTTCTCTGACAGGAAGAGAATGTGGTTATCTTTGAAGTGCACATATTCTAGGAGGCTTTTTTTGTTTGTCTGTCTGTCTGTGTGTGTTAGAGCGGCTCGTTGGATCTGACTATATCGTTGTCGTACTCTGGTCTCTCCCTGCTGCTTGAATGATGAGCTTTATCTGAGGAGTTGCCTGGACTTCCCGCGTGGATGGAGAATCCATAGCGCAGGAGGGTCCGTGTCCTTGCCAGGGCTAGGGCAGTAAGCAAAGTGGAAAAACATATCAGGCGCACGCAGGTCCCTGTTGCTGGACCTTTTCCAGCCCCCTTTAGCTCTCCCCTGTATTCCCACCCAACTAGAGATTGATTGTAACCCAGTCACGTACCCAGAAACATCAGTTCGAGGCAGACTGACTGAAGGGGAGGAAAAATAAGTATTCTGTTGCTGCTTCTCTGGCATAAACAAGAATATCGATCCTATTCTCTGGCCGATATTCGTATTCTCTCCCCCTCTCCCATCCCACTTTTGTCTTACTTCATCCAAAGCCTCTCAGATGGAAAAGCAAACCCTTTGATACTGTCCTCAAGAGAAGCCAGCTGCCCTCGCGGCTACTTGCAGGGCTTTCCTTGGACTGTCCGAATGTCACGTGTATGAGAAATACAGACCAGTGATAGCCTGTAAGCAAGGCAGATTTTCTCTAGAGAAAAAAAAAAAAAAGAAAACAAACACCTTCCAAGAGCTTCAGGTGGGGCGGCATAAACAAGAATATCGATCCTATTCTCTGGCCGATATTCGTATTCTCTCCCCCTCTCCCATCCCACTTTTGTCTTACTTCATCCAAAGCCTCTCAGATGGAAAAGCAAACCCTTTGATACTGTCCTCAAGAGAAGCCAGCTGCCCTCGCGGCTACTTGCAGGGCTTTCCTTGGACTGTCCGAATGTCACGTGTATGAGAAATACAGACCAGTGATAGCCTGTAAGCAAGGCAGATTTTCTCTAGAGAAAAAAAAAAAAAAGAAAACAAACACCTTCCAAGAGCTTCAGGTGGGGCCAGATCCTTTTCTGAGAGGAGTATTGAACCAGGAGCTTGCTCACCAGCCACTCAGCCACTTTTTCTTGCCTTCTTGGTGGCACGAGATGACCTTATCACATCAGGGATGTCTCTAAATCACCAGCCCTCAAGGGCTGCTGCCACTGGAAAGAGTCACAGTTCCCCTTCGCCAGAACTGGGCAGAAGCCTCAGAATGGGATGTTCTGCTTCAGCCTTTACGGGTGACCTGCATGAACCACCCTGGAGATTGCCAGGAGGTTTTATTATCAGCTTTCCCATAGAGATGTCCCTAGGAATATTCCATTCTCTTGCTTCTTCTCCTGGTTCGCTCGCATTAAAAGGTAAAGTGCAATAGAAGAGTACAGGAGAAATGGTAGCAGATTGCTTTAAGTTAATGGACATGCCTTAGAGGGGCACCTGCGTTAGGACGAGGAGGTCTGGATCAGGTTGGATGGCTTCAGAAACCATGACCAAAACTCTCAACAATGTTTCCTGCCTGCATCGGAGCTGGAAATGCAAGAGGTGCACCACCAGAGAGGACCCATGGCCATGTGTTATTGACACCTCAATTCTGCAGATTCACAGAGTGAGGAGGAGCTTCACCAAGCGTGTGAATCACTGGGTGCTTGTCTGAACTGATTTTCCCAATCTCCTGGAAGTCGCCCACCTGACCTGGGGATGTCTTGTCCGTCTGAACTGTCTCCTCTCCCTAGCACTGTTCAGGGGACTCTGCTCTCAACTGTGTGTATCAGTCGTAGAGATACATCCGTGGGCCTGGACCAGAAGCCTATATCCAAACACCCTAGCAGAGGAAGGGTTGAATTTTACAGCTCAGGTCCATCTCTGCTTAGAAGAAATCCTCTGGACCGTACAGCATAATTTAAAGCAGTTCTCCCCACTGTGATCGATGTCTCAATTTGTTTAACACCAATTAAAGTCTCTGGTTCCTCACTGCTGAAAACGAAAGCCAGTCATGGCCGTTTGCGATTGGTGGCTTTAAGTAGCAAGTCTTAAGGATGATTTTTTTTTTAAATTTTATTTTATTTTTAATTATTGTAAATCATTACCTCATTTTCTGTCAATGAGACTCCTCCATCTTTGAGCATTCTTATCTTGCCATAACTATCATCCTGTGCTAATGGGAAATGGGACGGTCCCTTTTCACAGAGACTATAGGGGTGTTCAATGTCTAGTTTCTTAATAAACACTTTATTTTCTAACGAAACAGCTGCATCAGGTCTCTTCTTTGAAGTCAAAATAAATAAATGTTCAGAATGACACATCCTATAGTCTACTTCTTCATGAGATGGTCCATGTGTGGGGAGTCTGGTTTGTTTGCTTCTTCGGGGGGTGAGGAGGGTGGGATTTGCAGTTGTGATGTGAACATTACTCAGATGTAGCTTGTGCTTCTGTCATTCTCATCAGGCACAAAAATGTTTTCTTGCCTGAGAGCTTAGCCGCTGATGATCTCAGTTGATAACCTGTTGGGTTTTGTAGCTCAAAATGGTCATATTCTCAGGGACAAAGCAGTACTGCTGGGAGACGGTGTCAGGATTTGCCAAGACAAGTTTCTACACTTAGCAGAAGGAGTTTTATTAGGAGTCTTGTCTCTCAGGGAGCTTGACACTAAAAGATTGTTCTGGCTGCAGTGCTCTTGTTTCAGAACATGCTGTTGTTGCAGGTCTCCCTGCTTGGCTGTGTAAATTGCTCTCCTGTTGGGTGTTGGACTGTTGTCCCTTCATCAGGGACAATTAGCCTCCTATTAATGTAGCTAGGATGTGTGTGCTGTAGAGGCAGTGGGGTACAAGCAAGTGCTGCTCTTGGGCTACTCACCTGGAGTTCATGTAAGGGTGATTGGTTGCTCCAGGAAGAGAGGAGCCACTCTGTGGTGTGCAGGGCTTGGTGTGAGCATGTGTTTTAGTGGCTGTGTCTTAGTATTGTTAATGGGAGATGTTATTTATGTGACTGAAAGCTGCTGTGCCAACCTGCAGGTGGCTGTGGGCATGAGGCTGGGGGTGTGTTTGAGCTGATATTGATGGATGGTGCTAGAACCCTTTTAGAAAACCTGGTGAGAGTTTTGATGAGCAAAAAAGAAACATGTTTTCCAGCATCATTCTGTTCCTATAACTTCCTGGCATGATGTTCAAGCAAATGTCTCAAAATGATGCTATGAGTGAATTTCTGCATGCTATTCCCTTCTAACAAGTATGCTTCTAGATGTCAATGGGTGCTGTGGTTCATAGGATTAGGAGATGGCTGATATCTTTACCTTTTCAAAGATGCCTGCAATGCCTGAGACAAATGGTTATCTCCTGACATATAAGATTACACATGAAACGGGCAGCTGAGCTGCATTGGATTTCTTCCCTATTTCCCTCTACTTTTTGAGGTGTGGGAAGCAAACATGGGTGTTGGAAGCTCTGCCTTTTCCTCCCCACTACCTTAGGGTCTGTTATTAAGTTTCACAACCCAGAAACATTGCAAGCAGGGCGTCATTTGGGATAATTGGCTAAGAAATTAGCCAATTACTTAGGCTGCTGGTACGGTCAGCCTTAATCCACCTTGCTTTGTATTTCAGGGCAACTGATTCCTTGCCTGTGAGTTTCCACAATGTTTTTGCTGCTACCAGTGCTTAAGGAGGTAGCTTAACTATGCTCACAGGCTCTGACATGTATTGCAGAGGGGTTGGATGCTTGTTTCTCCTTGTGCTTGCTTCTTCATTGCCTCTGTGTTGCCTTCACCTATGTGAAGGTTTCATGCTCTTTGAGAATTCTGGACCCTGAGTTGATACTGCTCTCCTGTTCTGCCTTCCTGCACTGGTTTCAAATGGCTCTTTACAGAGCTTATTACTGAAGGAGGTTGGGGTATTGGTTTGGTACAGGCAGTGGTACAGATCATCTCCTCCTTAAAATCACAACTCTGCCTTCTGGGTTCTTGTAGAGTGTGGAGCCTGCATGTGAACAAGCAGAGAAGTTTTGTTTCCCTGGTGTTTTAACTCTAAAAAGAGAGAGTCACATTTCTTTTAGTTCATGCTTGGAATGAGTGTGATGGGTATGGTATGATTCTGGCACGACGCCTCCCTGCAAGATGGAAACAACGAGTGGCCTGGTGAGACCGTGGGCTTGGACGTGCTGTAGGCGAGTGTTTGATGCCTGTGATGCTGTAGGTCATGACTGAATCTCTGTAGCTGCTTATGCAAGTTGCACAGGATGAGTCTTGATGGTTTTGCTCCTCTTTCGTTTATTTAGACATGTTTTTAAGGAGTCAGCCCTTCTTTCTCAAGAGGCTGGAGCTTCTTCAAAGGTGGTAGTTTTCTCTACCAGTCTTTGGCCTTTCCAGCATGAGTCTGTGACCGAGGTGGTGGGGCAGAAGTCCCAGTAGCTGTGGACAGTCAGAGAAAGGTGCTCCTGCTGGTTCAGCAAACTGCAGCAGTGCATCACTGCTCTGCTCTGATTTGTACCCAGAACAAGCTGCAGATCCTCAGGGTTAAGCCCTGGCATTAGCAGAGGATAACGAGGCCCAGACACAGTAGAAAAGCTAAAAACTGCAGGTCTGGGGGAGCAGCAGGAAGAGAGTGTGCAAGAAATCAATGCTGGGTGACTTCATTTTTGCTTAATGTTTTGAAGTGCTTCTGGTGCGGTTTATTCAATGAGCCAAAGAGTCCTTATTAACTGTGTATTTACCAGTGCCTGCAGACCCTGATCAATTGGCAGGAAAGTTTAACAAGGCACAGGAATCAGTGCATACAGCCACTTTGAAAGGGAAAGAGTGTGATGGGAGACTGGCACACGCACAGCTGGAAGAGGTGCTGTACCTGGTGAAGCAACGCCGTGGCTTCCTCTGCCATTGTGGTGCATTTTGCTTTGCCTGTATCTTTTGTGATTTCCCCAATGTCCCTCAAGCCTCCCGCTTCATGAGAGGCAGACTCCTTTGTGGTGCCAGCATGTGGTCTGATGCCACAGAGCATCAGCCGCCAGCTCCACATCTCCAGTGGCTTGAGCTTGTTGTGACACAGAGGTGCACTGCAGGCTGTGGGGCATCCTACCCTGTGTCCACACCACAGGGGATCACATAGATACTGCTTTGTCTTGGCCCCAAAAAGCAACATAGGAAACCCAATGGTAAAAATAAGTTAATTTGCCTAATGTGGCTTCATTTGTGTTTCTTATAAACTGACATGTGGGGAAGACACAGAGGGTTTAGGGGTGTAGATACACCTTTCTGCTTCTGCTGGGAGCTCAGTTTGGTTGTATCAGTTCCTCACGTTGTTCTTCAGTTCCAAATTTCACATTCTTGGATGCACGTTGGAGTTTTGGGGGTTGTTTGTCTGTCTTCCTTGTTGAGATTTGGTAACTGGTTTCCAGAGACCTGGTAAGTGCCTGTTCTTATTGAAATCAGTACGGAAATTCAAAAGAGCGTTACCTGAGCTTTTGCCAGCTAGCCCTTTGAGGTGGAGTTCAGACTTTGAGTTTGTCAAGTTAAGAGCTAGAACAAACCTCAACCCACACTTCCAGCCCCTGTAAATAAATGCAGGATGATTTCTTTGCGAAGTGACGATGACGGACTCTCCAGCAGTAAAGCAGAGTGCAAGTACAAGACAATTACATTTGAACTTTGATATTAATTTTGAACTTGTGAGTGTAACTGCTGACTAATCAGCAGGAATAAATTTTGGTTGTTCTCTACAAAGCAGAGGGATTCATTCCAAGCCCTGGTTAAATGATTTGCTCTGCTGTTAGTGAGTCATTTGTGACCTGTGCCCAGTTCCTGCAGATGAGTTGACTTTTTGTAAGGATTTGCCTATGATTTCAGACTATTTAGCCTTTTTTCTCCAAGGTTTTACTTCAAATATTCACGTTATGTGACTGGCTGACTGGTGCTGCTTTTGCTCTCAGGTTGGGTGGGTGAATGTTCCAGACAGGCAGCAAGAAATGTATTATGCAGAGATGCTCTTCAGTAATCTGGTATTTGGGGTTGTCCTTAAAACCATGTTTCTGTTTCATATCTTGGGGCTGGTATCACCCCACCAGGTCTGTCTGGGGGCAAGAGAAACGCTTGGTCCCCAGGCCTTTGGAGTAGTTAAGAGTTTGTCTTCAGAGCAAGTAGCTTTCATGGCTGCAGGCTGAATTTTGGGAGCAGCCCACATCTGATCTGTATGTGGGTCTCCATCCACTGATCACGACACAGCCACTGCTGGAGGTCAGCCTCTTTCGTGAGAAGTCAGAAAGAGCCAGACTGGAGTCGCATTAGGCTCACTAAACTGCCAGAATGTCTGAATAAGCTAATCATGGCCAGGTCATCATTATCTTAAGTGAGTCAGTGATGTGTCCAGGCTGTTTATTTAGATAATTGGGAGAGAGAGGGAGGGAGAGAGGTTTGCAGTCTGTGGACTAGACCGGTGAGGTGGTGGAGTGTATTGCAACATCTGATATAAGAGAGAAGGAGCTATGGTCTTGCAAGTTGGTGTTCTGCATGTGTCCAGGCCCTGTTCCTGCCAGCATTCAGTCCCTGGTGCCAATAACAGGGATGTAAGGTGGCATCATGATCATGCAGTATGCGCGTTTCGGACACCACCAACGTGAGCTCATCTTGCCAGGCTAAAGAGTTGTACCTCTGCTCAGATTGTCTCATGAGGCCTGGCTGCCCGGTGATTTTACAGACATTCTGGATCAAGAGAGCATTTTGGTTTTGCTGTATCAGTGCCAAACAATATTTGGGGAGGATAGGAGCAGCTGTGCACAGTCACTCCTTCCTTGGTAGTGCCCGGTTTGGTCCCCTGTAGACTGCTGAAGGTGGCTGCAGGTTTGCTTTGTGTTCCCTGAGACACCTTTGTTCATGGAATGGTGCCAGAGGGGTTTGCAAGTTTAAGAGTGTTCAAGCTCCAGTCATACGCTCAGTGCAGCTAGAACAACTCCAGAGGCAGACGTCCCCCAAAGCCATCACATCTTCACGGTGCACAGACGCTGCAGCCGACTGAGAAAGGACTCACTTAAAGACAGGTAAGTGCCATTTTTCTCCTTCCAGGGAGCTATTGTGTGTAATATGCTGAAGTCAGACCTCTAGCAGGAATTATTTTGATGGATCTGCTCTAAATGCATACAGGATAACTGACTGCATTAGACAGTATCAGCGAGAAACTGTCAGTCCTGCCTCAGGAACTAGCAGGGGCTCTTCTGGCTGGAAACGCTGCAGATCTGGCAGTGTGTGAGAGCTGAACACCCGAAG